TTTTTTTTTTTTTTTTTGTTGTTGTAAACTAGTTAAAATGTTTCAGAGAAAGAAAAAGTTTGGAAGGCCTAATTAATCAGGTGGAGCATTCATATGTTTACGGTTTACAATAAGACAAAAAGAGTAATTTTTTTGGGAGTCGTTTACATTAAGTGTTTTGACGACAAAAGTTTTATCCCGTTTAAAAAAAAAGAAAAAATTTTATTATTACTATTATTGCTGTTATTATTATTTTGCAAATTTGTTTCGGTATATGAATGTGTCAATATGCTAAACGTTATTTTGGCAATGATTGAACTTGAGAAACAAATACTTCAACATAGATATATAGGCAGTATATTGTTGTTTTAGCCATATCATTTTGATCGTCAAAAAATTTGTGTAACAGCTATCCGCTTTATATTTGCTGCTATAAGAAAAAAAAGGGTGAGCTTAGTACTGCTTTTATTTTAACAGAGCACAAAAAGATTTTTTCTTTCTTTTTTTTATTTACTTTTTCATTGTTTTCTTGCCTGCTTCCTTATTTTTTTCTTCTTCATTCTCTTTTCAATCTATGATCGACGTGACTTCAGGTTAAAAGCTGCTGCTGCTACTGCAAAAAACTGTAATATATCAGCTTTCGCCGACAATGAATATGGGCAACAATGAAAATCATTTGGAGGCAACCGAGGTGCTAACAAAAGGACAAAATTCAGCGCGTCTAAAGACAGTTTCAATGGAACCGCTTTTAGCATTTTATATGTTCGCATCATTCATCAAATACCCGGTCTTTCAAGCATTGCTCTATGAGAAATCATGTATTTCTCGCTACAAGGTACAGGTTAATAAATTTTTACATAAACATTTGGTTGACTATCTTTAACAGTTCTATTTTTTGCACTTATCATGGACTTTTCTGCGATCTAATTAATTATTGATTTTGCAAAAAAACTCAAAGAAATGCTGTCTGAACTATAAGGAATAAAGACGATGTTGGTTAGAGAGGAAAAACTGAAATCAAAGTTTTGCTTTTAAAAAAGTTTTATCATTTTGAGTGACAGTTTTTTAATGTCAAATCTGACACAGATAAACTATGCATTATAGATTAGCCGCCTATAATATTTCTACTTTTGAATAGTTGTTTTTTTTTTGTTGGATCTGATATTATATGCAATGTAATTCAGTGGATTGCTGAAGATAAATTTAAATGTCTTCTGTTACTAATAATGTGTTCCTCTCTTCTTCATTTTATATAACTAAAAACCTCGAAAAACCATAAAGAGAATCAGTTTTAGGATGAGACTTACTGTCAGAATATCTCGTTGGTACACGATAACGTAGCATTGCAACGTGATGCTAATCATCTTTACTTGTTGTCCTCGCTATGCCTTATGTTACCGTCAATACCGCTTTCTCTAATTCTTGGATCATGTATGTTTCTCCTTGTCGGAAAATATATTCTTTTCAGTTTCTGGTGTTGAAAATGATCAGGAAATAGAAAACAAATATCTTTTGTTCTTTTCTTTTTTTTTTTCTTCAAAATCTATCTTTAGATTGGTGTGGACGTCTGTTCATAGTTTCTGAAGCGCATTTACTGTTGATTTAGTAAGCGATGTATGGGATGCGAAAATTCCCGTAATGGTGCCACTTTTTGGATTTATTGTTGGAGACTTAAACTATGTGTTGCAGTGTGTATTTTTTAAAGCAGATCCTCGATGGTTACTCCTAAGTGATTTGGCGTCTGGTTTCACTGGCGGATATTCAGCACTTTTTGGTTAGTATAATAATAAAATTTCATGATTATTTTATTTTTTTTACGCCAGATCAGCCATAACTTTTGTTAACATTCCACACTTGTTGATTGGCCTCAAAAAAAATTGATAATTTTTAGAATGTTTTTGCTAGAGAGTTTTTTTGTTTTTCTGATGATAAGTGTTCCTTTACTTATTTTGGGTGCAATATTTTCTTATTCGGCAAAAAATCATAATGGTGTGAGACGTAGCCAGAAAATGGCGTTCTTAGAAGGTGCTATCGGTACTGGTGCTACACTTGGATTTCTTTTGGCTGGGATCATCAGAGAGTTAGGTATTCCGTATTGTCGCTTACGTGGTTTATCTTGTTTCAGATCATATTTCTTTATATTTATAATGTGGCTCTGCTCTTGTGAGCGAATAAATAAACAAACACTTTTTTGTCATTAGGTTTACTTCCGGCAGTGGTAGCTGTCAAAGCACGTAGGCAGCGTAACAGTGCTTTTTTTTTCAGGTTTTTAAATTTCTATGGAACATTCCTACTTATAATGGGGCTGCGTATTCTTTGTATTATGTATGTCATTGTATTTGTGAAGAACTTGGACCTAAAATCGGGAGGTCTGGCGTCGAACAGGAGTAGGTCACCGTTCTATTCAAATTTATAACATCAGTATACGATTATTATAATTGACAACATAACGTATTCTTTAAAATGTTTTGGAAAGGTAATATCGCAAAATGTTAACAATTTTAAGTTCGAGAGCCTCGAATATTGCCAACGTTGAAGAAGCGTCTTCTGGACGTTGTTGAGATCCCAACGAAGAAACGGCCGGCTCGAACAATGCTTCTTCTTGCCTTATTGTCGCTCGTCATCGAGTTTTTTGCTTTTGCTGGTACAGTTTCATATATAATTTCTGGATGGATCCTATTAGTGTATGTGTAGGTTTAGTACTGTTATTTGACCCATTTTTAAATGCTGTTCTTGGTGTAGAAGAGGACATTATAGGTTTCAAAACCAAACTATGAGATGGAGCTTATATGAAGTTGATTCTAAAATTGGAAATATCAAAACTGTTCATTATAACGGAGTGTCAAATTTCAGGTGTACTTGACATCCAATATTCATTCTTTCGTTTCAAGCTTGAATGGGGTGATAAAGAATTTGGTTGGTACAGCGGTATTGTTTATGGGCTAAGCACTGCTGCGGTAATCAGTTTCCCTTATTCTTAATTGACAGGCTGATGGTGCATGTGTAATATACAAATTCTCAGTCCTTAACTTCTTAAGAGAATCAACATCAACTTATTTGCAGCATTAAAAAATTTGCATTATTTTGGTTTTTTAGTTTTTACCTTTGTTTTTTCTTTTTATTTTTTAGGAACATCTGTACAAAATTAATTTGCAGGTATTGATACCATATCCGTGGCTCAAAACACTTGGCGTTTATGACTTATCTTTATGTGCCCTTGGATTGGCTGCGAAAATTATAAGTTTAATAGCCACTGCATTTGTTTTTTCCAACTGGTTTGCTTTTGCAATCTCGCCTTTGTCTTCATTCAACCGATTTATTTCAACTGCATTACGGACGACGGTTTCTCAGGCAGTGGAGTTTTCTGAACAAGGTTTTGATTTTTTATGACTATTTGAATGAATGTAATCTATCAAACGGTCTGTGAAATTAGGCTAAGGGTTTTAAATTATCAAAGTTACTTTAAATTGATTTCAAATGTAAATACTTACTGAGGATGTTATCGAGGATGTTAGGTTCAGATATATTTTCTCTTTTTTATTTATTGGAGCCTTCGCTACTAGTTGTTCCTTTCTAGACAGTGCATCATATTGTACTTTGTTCGCTAATTATTTTGTTTTAGGTCGAATATTTTCGGTGATAAGTGTTGCTGATGGACTGGTTTCGTTGTCCGGTTCATTAGTTTTTAACTCTATCTATCCGTTAACATTACCCAAATACCCGTATTTTTGCTTTGTTTTCATTGCTGGACTTCTGGTCATCCCACTGATTTCATCATTATATCTTCTGCATAAAGATCAGCTTGCAGAAACGAATTCATGTTCTGATATAGGCAGCAGTTCAAATGCATAGATGTCTGCATGAGGAAATTTAAATCTTTTTAGTAATCGGAATGCACACTGTTAGTTTTGACATTGTTAATATCATAAGAATAACATCTGCAAAAATTGTTTTGTTACGTTTACAGTTGTTAAGTGTACTTCTGTTTTATCGAATAGAATTTAAATTATTTCTTTTTCGCTTATAATACTTCATTTAAATATAAAACTTTTGCCTAATTAGAAAATTTGCTGAGAGTGTTGCTTAAACACAACTATTTTTATGTCGTTTTGGCATCAGTTTCAGCGTCTGAAACAAAGCAGCGAGGAAAGTAGTGTGTCTACGTATTTAATAAAACTTCTGTGTATTGCTAGGAGTGAAGAACTTGAAGGAAGCTAGCGTTTTTTATGAAGTTACAAAGCAAACCTGTATTAAAGTTAACGTGAACATAGGAAGGTGAGCGTCTAACATTTGTAAGCTCGATTCCCGCATTTTTGGTTTTGGTAGAAGGTATCGGAAAGATGTTTGGTTTTGAAGGTCGCTGATTTGGCTTTAATACCTCAATATTTTGGAAGAAAAGTGCTGATTCAGCTGGCCAGTGATTGAAATTCACTGAGGTATACTTTGCACATTGTATACACAAGGAAAAATTGATTTTTAAAGAAATGTGTATAAGGAGAGTAGATTGGGGTGTGTCTACTAAATTAGGAACGAAAAGCCGGGAATTATTGGTTTCTAGATCAATTTTGAAATACTTGGCGTAAAATTGCTACTCTGTGTAGATATTTTTATCCGTGAGCTGGTGATTGCAGTTTAGAATTCCGATATAAAATTATCTGATGTTAACACCAATGTTAATTCAACTTGAAGTATTCCCAGAGTGTTCCTGTAGGTAAAAACGGTGAGATTGTTTTGTATTTCAAGCAGTGGAAAAATGTACAATCAGACCGTTATCTGGGTAGTGCCTATGGAAAAGCTCGAAAGCTATAGCAATAAAAGTGTCTTTTGACCGTTGTGGCAACAGAAAAAGACGAACGTCTCTTATTTAGGCTACGCAGAATTTAAGGGTTTTGAAGAACAGCCTCTTTATTCTGGCAACTATAACATGATATGTTAAGATTCCTGGTTTGTTAGTTTCTCGTTTTCAGTCGGAACAATTAAGAATAGCGTCTCTTTTACCTGGGAAACTGAACTAAAGAAGAGCCTTAAAGCCATTATTTTCTACAATTACCTGAAAAATTATAAGTGTATGTACAAAGAACATTTTACAATTATTAATGTAGGTCGTAAATGTCACTGGCAATAGACAAAGTTTTCTGGTGAAAAGAACCGAGAAGAGGAGATAAGCGGTATAGCATTACTAAATTAAAAGAGGAAATAACGGGTGAAACTGGTGAAACTACTCAGAGAAAAAGATTACTGGTTCAAAAAAGTACAATTGCTGAGCGCACAGGATACTAAAATTTTTGGTGAAATTGGTCTATTTTGGGCTGCACTTCTATTTTTGATATATTTTCTTCTAGAAGGATTTACTGAAGTTCTGTTACTCAGCCTCCAACTTGGAGTCCCAATTTTTTTTACGAAATTTACTGCTTACAGATTCTCAATTTCCTGTTGCCTTCCCGATGAGGATATGATTTTGGCATTGTCGCTTAAAGATTCGCCCACAACGTTTTGAAATGATTGGTGTGTACTTTGGCGGTGTTTGAAGACTAGAACAGAATGAAGTTTTACATATACTGCGGTACAAAATAACTGCGTACCTGATGGAAAAAGATTGTTTACATTTAGTGATAAGGGAGCTAACGCCATAATTGAGTATAAGAAAGAAAAAAATTGTTTCAAGCAATAAATTGATTTATAAAGAAATGCAAAAAAAAAAAAAAAGACTTCTTTTAATGCTTTTTTTTAGTAAGGAATTTTCCCAAAGACTTGTAAAAACTTTCTAAATGCTACTGCTTTGACCCACTTCTCTCATTCATTCCAAAAGTTGGCTGAATTATTGACTTTTATGAAGATAAAAACTGCAAACAGCTTTTTGTACGTCTACATACGGAATTTAGCTTCGTCTAAAACATTTTTATCTTGTTAGTCGCTTCAACATTACAATTCAGTTTTAATTTACCTGCTGTTATCCTAATTTTTTTAAAATCTTAAGATACAACTTTTGTAAAATGTTTAAAAAATACTTTAATCACTTTGTGCACAAAAATTTATAATTGTTTCGCTTTTGCTCCTGAACTGCTTACTCAAGTGTATGTTAGTTCTCCTTTTTCTCAGAAACAAAACCTCATTTCTATCAGTAGCCTAAAACCAAATTCTAAAGTGGTTCTGTAGTTGTCTGAAACGATATACCAGTTGCTGTATTTTGGTATTTGGAGGGCAAATTAATACTGCAGAAAATTCTCTTCTGTACATTGCTGTCGTTTCAAGTTACGTGCATTTTTGGTTACAGAAAAGTAATACTCCGCGACTCGTATGAATTTATGAGGTATGGAGCTAACTGGATTGTTTACAACACTTAAACTTCTTAAGTTGCCTTTGATCCACTTGCTATGCAAGTACGACCGAGGATATGATGATTTCGAAGAGCTTGTTCAATACAGTTGTCTACAGCCTCATCGGTCGACTGAGCAGTTTTTTAATTGGGTATTATATGACAGTGTTCAGATTCTTTCAAAAGCTGTTGATGTACAGGAAAATACTAGTAATTCGCATTTGTATTCGTCTGTGATGACGGCAAAGGCTGACTAACTAATTGTAATTGCTAATATTAAATTACCTACAGTTTGTTCATCTTTATGATCGCGTACTCTGCGGCAGAAAATTGCCTAATTTACGCGTAATGTGTTCGGAAGAATCAAGTTGTTTGCTTAGCACTTATTTGTTCAGTTGCTTACGCGCTTTTTCGACCGTCGTAGAAGTTCAAATAAGTTACCCAACGGAAAAAGGTTGAGTTTTCTGAAGGTGATATTCTTTTGTAGTCCCGTTTTGCTCAGTTGCAGAGTAAATCTGTATGACGAGAAAGATAGTTGGCTATTCTATTCTAATACCTTAATAGATTAAACAAAAAGAAAGTTACGGTACTTATTCCTGATACTATCTTTAGGGAGGCGGCCCACATAACAAGATGAACGGGTATGATGGTCATGAAGTATTCATTAAGTGAACGGTCTTTTGCTGTTGATACTGATTCTGATGCACCATCTAACATTTCGATGTTTTCGTCAAAATTTGAATATATGCAGTTTGATGAAGTAGTCGTTGTTTAGTGGAAAACTGCACTGCAGAAGAAGAAGGCTTTTTTTTTTTATCAGATTTTGATGCAACAATTTTTAAAGCCAACATAAGACAAAGAAAAGAGAAGAAAAAATTGGGATGCGAAATCGATTTTTTTGTAGCACTTAATGGTTTTTTGAAAGGCATTTTTCATTCCCGAGATTCAGCTTTAAAACCCTGGCCAACACTGATGAGCTGTGCTCTTTGGGAACTCGTTGACGGTGACTTATGCAGATCGCTTGCTACATACACATTAAACAGGCACAATCAAAGATTCACAAAGCCCTTTGTCTATGAAATGCTGCAAAAAATTTTGCCTTTGTCACCGCATCTTTTTATGATGATAGATAATAGCAGTTTTCGGGAAATATTCAGATTTTCACTCTTATCCGCTGCTTTTTGCCTTTCCATTTTCACCGGCGCCAATTTTGTTTTGTCTTACAACTGTGTTCAAATAACTCT